TCATTTTTTTCTATGTTTGAATTTTAGAATAAAATTTTAAAACATGATTTTTTTTCCTTTTTCAAAAAAACAAATCAAGTATAGTATATATCATGAATTCTTAAAATTTTTAAATGATAGTTGCATATATATAAATATATAATTATTTTACTCTAGGAGGTTAAAAGTTTATTTCAAATAATTTATTTCACTTCACTAGGTATGGTCCGGACATATAAAAGAAACTATTAAATCATTTTTTTATATTAAAATTAACTATATATCTTCCAACATAATGCAAATTATTTACTATGAATATTTTTTTAACATTATAAAACCAATTTATTTGACATAAAATAATTAAAATAATTTTTTTAAAGAAACCAACTAATTATTCAAATGCAGTTTTTATGCTAATTTTATTAATTATTTTATAAATAATTATATAAATATCAAATGCATATACTTTAAAAAAAATCTTCTCACCAACATTAATTAAGAATAAAATGTTATTTTTTCATTAGTTAATTTTTACACAAGTTTATGCATTCATTGTAACTTTATTTTTTGGATACATTCTTATAAAAAATATATATTTTAAAAATATATATTTTTTAATTCTTGATTAATATTTTAGGTTTAAATTATTACAAGTTTTTATTTAAAAATTCCTGAATAAAGAAGAATAAATCATGTTTTTTTTTTAATGTAAAAAGTTTATGAAAAACACAAAAAAAATTAATAATTAAATAAAAATTATAAATTTTGAAATGATTTTGTTCCGTCTCGCATCCAAGCGTTTCGTGAATAATTTCAAAAAATTAATTATCTCATTAGCATTAAATAAAATTTTTTTTTCATTTGTTAATTTTATAAAAGTCTGACCATTAATTATAACTTTATTTTTTAAAATATAATATAATGAAAAAATGTTTTTAAATTTTTTAATTCTTGATTAATATTTTATTTAAAATTAGGACAATTTTCTATTTTAAAATCAATCCATAAAAAAGAATTATTTTTTTTAAGAAGAAAATTTATGAAAGACATTAAAAAAAATAATTAAATAAAAAATTATAGTTAAAAAAATTTGAAAAATTTTAAAATGATTTTGTTCTATCGGATCTGCAAGTGTAGCACGAGCAACCAACTAGTTATAACTAAAAGAGGTGGGAAGTTTGAACGAGTGAGTTTTACTATTCACCCCCTTATGAAGCACTATTCACCCTTTTTTTAATAATTTCTGAATTGTTTCATTTTATTCTCTAGAATTTTAAAATAAAAAATTTTAATCCCTTAATTGATGCAGTACACATGTTTTTTTCCTTTGATTTTTCTATCAATTCATGTTCTTTTTTATTTATTTATTTAACTAAGTGTTAAAATTTAGAAAAATCTATCGTTATTTTTTTCACACAAATTGATAATTATATAATATATACGATATGTTTTTAGATTTTAGAATAAATATATACTACTCTTATAGTTTAAAATGGTCTTTTAGATTTATTATAAAAATTCACATCAAGTTAATTTTTATTCCTATGTTTATATAATTTTATTTACTAATAAATATGATTTATTTTCTCTATGTATGGATTCGAATAAGTTTTTTATACCTGTTTTTATTTACTTAATTCTTATATAATCAAATTTTAAAAATAGAATATATTTATTTTATTTTCTTATTCTTCATATAATCAAATTTTATCTAAATCAATTTTATATTTTTTTTATTTCACTCTATTAACTTCAACATATATTTTTTAATTTAATTTTTTTAAATTTTTTTAATTTATGCTACACATTCTTACTCATTGAGTACAATCATGATGGATAAAAAATAAATAATATTAGAGTCATTGATTTTATTAAAAATCAACTATGCATCTAAAAACACAATACCAACTATTTGCTATTATTTTTTTAATATTATAAAATTAATTGTTTCAAATAAAATAATTGAAATAATATTTTAGAATAACCTTCTAATAATTCAAATACAATTTTGTATACTAATATTATTCATTATTTTGTAAGTAAATATATAAATTAAATGTACATATTTAAAAAAATAATCTTCTCATCAATAAAAAAGCTTCATTTGTTAATTTTCATACAAGTTTTTATATTAATTATTATTTTATTTCTTCGATAAAATATTATGAAAAAAATATTAAGATGTTTTTCTAAATTTATATTAAAATTTATTTATTATGGGTTTTTATTTAAGAATAAATGTATAAGAAAGAACAAATCATATTTTTTACTCAAAAATTTATTCAAAACATAAAAAATATATACAAATATAAACTTTCGATTAAAAATTATAAAATGAGATGAAATTTAATCTTTTATATTTAATTTAATATATTTTAATTAACCGGTAATATAGTATATGTTATCAAATTGAAATAAATATATTTAGTTCGATCCGCAACGTAGTGTGGGAATCCGAACGGTTCATATGCTTAAAATTCATATTCACTCACTTTTCATATGCATAAAATTACTATTTAATTGATGGCAATTTCAGTAAATTTTTTTTTGTTTATTTTTAGGCATTAGTGTGCAAATTTAACACTTTTTTCTATTCTCATCCCTTATGTTGTAACATTGTTTTCAATCCTCGGGTTTCATTTTTATGCAACGCACTCGTGTGTGTGTTAAAATTAACATATACTTTAGCTTGTATTACCCTAATCATTTAAATTTTATTCTTTGAATTTATCATTTTTTATGAAAATTCTCATCAAATGAACATTTTTTATATAAGATTTTATTTAGTGATAAACGTAATTTATTTTTCTCTATGTTTGAATTTTAGAATAAAATTTTAAAGCATGATTTTTTTTTCTTTTTCAAAAAATAAATTGGTGTAATATATATCATGAATTCTTAGAATTTTTAAATGATAGTTTCATATATATATATATATATATATATATATATATATATATATTCTAAGAGGTTAAAAGTGTATTTCAAATAATTTATTTCAGTTCACTAGGTATAGTCAAGACGTATAAAAAAAAACTATCGAATCATTGTTTTTATTAAAAATTAACTATACATCTTCCAACATAATACAAATTATTTACTATAAATATTTTTTAACATTATAGAACCAATTTATTTGAAATAAAATAATTAAAATAATTTTTTAAAGAAACCAAGTAATTATTCAAATACGAGTTTTTTATGCTAATTTTATTGATTATTTTGTAAATAAATATATAAAGATCAAATGCATATACTTGAAAAAAAAAAAAAATCTTCTCACCAACATTAAATAAGAATAAAATGATTTGGTTCTATCTCGCCCGTAGTATTCGAGGATAATTTCAAAAATCAATCTTTTTATAAAAATTTGACCATTAATTATAACTTTATTTTTTAAAATATAATATTATGAAAAATATGTTTGTAAAGTTTTTTTTAAGTATTGATTAATATTTTAGTTAAAATTATCACAGTTTTTTATTGTAAGATCAATCCATAAAGAAGAATGTTTTATATTTTTTTAAGCAGAAAATTTATGAAAAACATTAGAAAAATTAATTAAATAAAAACTTATAATTTTGAAATTTTAAAATGATTATATTCTACTGGATCCACAGCTAAATTCAGGCAATAGGCTAGTACTTACTATTTCTATGAAATGTAGATGAACAATATAAACTTGATGATTGGAATTGTCAGCTTCTCTCCTGTTTATCGTTTATCATTTCTGCTAATTGGATTGGATGGTAGCTAGTAACCTTGTATTATTAATTAGCTTGGATGGTGGCTAGTAACCTTATTATTATTGACTTCTTCTCCTCTCGTGCTCTCTACAGTCTCCTGGCTTCCTAATTAATTATAGGTCTTCAGATTGGTTAACTTCCTAATCGTCAAACTTTGCAAGAAACATTTCAGATAAGTAATTATCACCCTTTAAAAACAAAATTACAATATAGAATATCTAAATCATTTTTCTTCCATGCTGTTAACTTGTAAATGATTAATCTAGAGTCTGAACTCTTCCGATTTTCAACTCCTTTTCTTTGTTTCTTTAAAGTGTGTGAACTCTGAAAAAATAAGGGCATAATGTTTGTTTACCCATGCATTTGTGTATTTTCTGTTCCCGCTCAAAGAAACTACAATATACGATGGCTTTTCGTACATTAACAAAGAAAAAATGGTACAGTAACCGCATAAGATCCAAGTCCATTTTGAAAAAGTAGAGTACATGCATGATTGGCTGTGTGTTGAATTGGATGCATGCTAGCTAGCAACCACATGATTATTATTATTATTATTATTATTATTATTGACTTCTGTCTCTCTTGTGCTCTCTCTAGTCTCCTCTCTTTTCCGAAACCTTTCTTCTGCAATCAGTTTACCTATGGTGGTCATGCTTTTGAATTAAATCAGTACTTATTGATATCAGTACTAGTGTTTTCTTCTTCTTTAAAAAAAAAAAAAAAAAAAAAAACTGAAAAAGGAAGGGATCCTGGCTTTCTAATTATGGGTCTTTAGATTGGTTAACTTGTTCTCTGGAGAAAGATAATCTGTGGCAAATTTTAAATTGTCCCTTTGGTTTACAGAAACAAATTAACTAGTGTTTTTTCTCTCAAAAACTAACTATTTAGTCCCCCATATTTTAATTATATCAAAACTTAGTTCTTTCATAAGTTTTTCATTAGATTAATAATTTTTATTTCAAAATTGCACTTCTTTTGATTTTTGTTGAGGAGACACAAAGGGAGTAGATAAAAAAAAAAAAAAAGGCATAAAACAACAATTTGAGAAAAAAATTCACTAGTATGGCAGAAAATTGATGAAAAAATTAAGTGATTTGTCGCTATCCAACGTTGGACGGGACTCTTTAAAAATATCTTAAATTAAATCTAAGAGTTAATTTTTATTTACAGAGTTTGAAATCGCCACCTAATATTAAAGGAACTAGGAACCTAAAACGGACACTGATTCGGAGATTCCGTGATAAGGAGTTGGTTATGTTTTTTGAAAGATATCGATCATCCTGATGCAAGCCTCTCAAAGTCCTCTCTCTTAATAAAACCTCTAACGTCTTTCTCATCCATCAAGCATTCAATATTTAAAGGTGCCTCTGCATTTGCACGCAAAACCTTCTTCAACTTCTCACATGCTGACCTTAACCTAACAGATGCCCTCACATTAGAATACACATCTATGTTGTAAAGCTCCTTGAACTGTTTCGCAAAATAACCAAACAAAACCTCATCAAAGTCCCTCCGTCCCAAACTGCTATCAATAGCATGCGACAGTATCCTCATATGCCCAGCCTCAAACGACACAATAGACACCTGAGTATCGCAATGACCAATGTCAACAAATGCAACATATGTTGGCCCTGCATTAGAGAAATCTGTTTTGTATATACCATAACTAAGTGCTGTTGCAGCACAGTCATGCACCAATCTCAGAGGCTTCAACCCAGCAATGGTTGCAGCATCCAAATATGCCCGTCTCTGCAAGTCCCTGAAATATGACGGTACCCCGATCACACAATCAGTGACATGAATTTCCAAATTTTTCTCTGCTATATCTGTCAGATGTGAAAACAGCATTGCCAATATCTGAACCGGGGTAAATGTATGTGTCTCACCCAAATATTTCAAGTGAATCAAAATGCCTCCATCCTTCCCTTCAGAAGTTTCAAATGGTAACATCTTCAGCTCATTTCGAACCTCAGGATCCTTAAATTTCTGGCCGATCAGTCTCTTCACTTGAAATATAGTCGATTTTGGGTTCATCACAGCAGAAGCAGCACCTGCTGACCCAAGGAACCGCTGCTTCTCCCCAAAACATACCACAGCCGGGGTTTCACGTTTTGATTCATCATTCAACAACACATCAACTCCCCGTTGCTTCACCACAGCAATAACACAGTTTTCATTGCCAATATCAAACCCAACCACACTCATTTCAGTTCACCAACACCTTGCACTGTTGAACAACAATAATTATATCACAACCCCGCAAAGAAATTACTTAAATTACCAAATCCCTTAAAATCCCCAATAGGCCCTCACCAGCAAAGCTACAAAAAAACTTTTTTTTTTAAAAAAAAGAAAAGAATAATAAATAGAACTCTCGCCCAAGAAAAAAAAAGTTAGTGCTTAGCAAGCTAACAAATAGAGCAAATAAAATATGACTTCACTAAAATCAATGCATTGTTGGATTACTGGTAAAATGTAGGATTAGAAAACTATTATCAAAGTTCAACCTTCAGCGATTCCAAATTCGAAAGAAACAAGAGGCTTATACTTCAACAAGCCTTTGTAGTTTGAATAGCAGCAAAGTTTGAACTTTTTAAAGCCTTTTAAGCCAAAACAACAAGAACCAGATGACCAAATTGTCACTTTCTTCCACATTCCATCAGTTCTTAGAAACCGAGAAAAATGAAAAGAGCCCAGTCCCAAAAACATGGAAATAAACAAAAGTATCAACAGAATCTTGGATATAATAAAGTGAGAGAGAGAAAAATAGTACCTTTATGCATAAACTGCCTTTCGTATGAGAAGCTAGAGAATTTTGAAAAGAAGTGTGTAGATTTGAAGAGAAAATTAGCAGTGGCAGAGAGACAAAATCGCCGCTTCAGTCTATGATGTAGATACTACCATTTTTCTGGAAAACAACTTGTCCTTACATGAAGAAAAGTAAAACATAAATGGCAAAGTTTAGATTTACTTATTTATGAGGGCTCTTTCTGCAAATAATTGTTTAAGTATGAAAAAGCAAGCCGACTTTTTCCTACAATTTATAAATCCAACTAAGTTTGTCATACCAAATTTTCTTGATTTTGCCGCCTCGTGTAAAACCATTTTTTTTATTATATGATTTATTAGATAACTTGGTTTATATTTGAATAAAATAAAATAAACAAACATAAAATAAAAGGAAAAGAAAAGCCATCCCAATCGATGAAAAATGAAGACCAAATGATAATATTTGATGTTTTAAGTAAATATAAAAAATCTATCCCACTAAAAAAATAATAATTCTATAAAATAGAGAAATGTAATTTATGATAGAATTTAAAATATATCACATAAAGAAGATAATGAGATTTTTATCACTTATGTTTAATTGAATGTCAATCAATATTAATAACAAAAACAAAAAAATAAAAAAAGAAAGAAAAGTCACATAAAAAGCTGAAAAATGATAATATTTGACATGTCAAAAAGTCGATTTATCAAAAGGAAAAAAACAATTACTCTACAAATTAAACATGAATATAATTAATGACACATCTTAATAATACACCACATAAAAAAGATAGATTATAAAATATCTCAATCCAAATATGTAATGACATTCTATAAAAATGAAAAAGATAAAGTCACTATATATCCTTAAAAAACCTAAATTAAGAAAAGAGATATAGAATCATGAAAATATTAGAAGAAAAAAGTACGGTAACCACAGTGGATCCAAGCCCATTCTGAAAGTAGAGTACATGATTGGCTGATTGGCTGAGAGTTGGTTGGTAGCTGCCTAGCTGGGAGCCACATATTATCGTTGACTCACCCTCTCTAGCTCTCTATAGTCTCCAGGCTTGCTGATTATCGGTCTTCAGATTGGTCAACTTGTTCTCTGGAGAAAGATCTTCTGTGGCTTTTGTGCGACAGAGCTTTGTAAGAAACAATTCAGGTGAGTAATTATCACCCTTTAAAAACAATGTTACAGATCTAGATTATTTTTCTTCAATGTAGTTTACATGTAAATGATTAATCTGGAGTCTGAAATCTTCTGATCTTCAACTCCTGTTCTGTGTTTCTTTCAACTGCATGTCTGAACTCTGAAAAATAAGGGTTAATTTTTGTTTACCCTTCCTTGCATCTGTGTGTTTAATTTCAACTTCGAACTTCCATTCTCCTCTTAACTTGAATTAATTGTCTGTATTTTTGTTTTATATTTACAGGTAGTGAGATTGGTCAACTTGTTCTCTGGAGAAAGATCTTCTGTGGCTTTTGTGTGACAGAGCTTTGTAAGAAACAATTCAGGTGAGTAATTATCACTCTTTGTTGGTAGCTTGCTCCTTGTAGTTCTATTGCTGTATACATGTTTGTCTAACATGCAAACTCCCTGGAATAAGTGTTTTTTTAATAGAAAAACTATGATTTTTGCAAATCAGATTGGAGAGTATAAAAAATTCTAACATAATAATAAAAATTGTAACATTATAGCAACAATAAAAAATAATGATGAAAAAACACTACCAATATAATTTTTTTCTTCAAATACTTTAAAACTTGATAAATAATTATATAACCATCTCAAAGTTATGATTAAGCAAGATTTTAATTCGAAAACACCATTCTTAATCATATGTTTCTAATATCCATTCTCATGTAAAATATACTATGTCATGATAAAAAAGCAAATACATGCCAAAATTTCTTAATATAATTGAATAAAAAACTGAACATTTAACATTTACACACTTGTGACACTATTTGAATATTTGATCCAAACTTTCTATCACAGTATCAATGCACCATTAAAAATCTTGAATATAAGATCCTTTTGATTAAAAATAATTTCCGTTCTATAATTCTTACCAAAACCTTGAGAAAGCATTATTTCAATCACTATACCACTCATTTTCTATATCGTTGAGGAAAACTCTCAAAGAACTGCTTGTGAGAAAGAAGTGAAAGAAAAGTTACTTTTTATAAATGACCTTGAATTATAATGCAATTTTGATTGAATTATTATTATTATTATTTTATTTCTACCCGTGGATAATAGGGTGTTTCTATTGACAAGACAATGGCATCAGGAGTCTGTGCCTTATCAACAACATTGCAATAATTTAAGATTAATGTTTTTCCCAATAAATAAAAATTAATATAACGATATTATAGTCTTAAAAAATGTTAATACCCCAAGTGACTTTAATAAATGGTAAACTTATGTTATAGCCTAATTGCCTTGTTGCTTTTGAAGATGGATTCCATACCGAGCTCAAGGCATTTTTGTTTTGTTCGTAGCTACATGTTATTGGTCAATCAGTACCGGTGCCTTTCCCTTGTCGCAAAGAATTTCAAAAATTAAGGTACTATAAATTCCTATTCTCATTCTCTCGATGCCTATTTTACTTGTAATGACTTGCACTCACAGTTGGTATCCTTGTTTCCCTGATTTTCAGACCGGTGGAAAATGGCTATCGAAAGTGTTGGTGGATCCGTTATATCTAAGATAACAGAACTCTCGGTGGAACCAGCAATAAGGCAATTCCGTTATATGTTCTGTTTCAACAATTTTCTTCAAGAATTCAATGAACAAAAGCAGAACCTGACATTGGCACTAGATCGTCTGCAAAATGCTGCCAAAGTTGCTGAAAGGAATTCTGAAGAAATCGAGAAAGATGTCAACAAGTGGCTGGAAGATGCAAACAAAGAAATTGAAGATGTGAAGCGTTTCGAAGATGAAATAGGAAAAAATGGCAAATGCTTTACTTGGTGTCCGTATTGGATGCGACAATACAAGCTAAGCAAGGCATTGGCAAAGAAGAAAGAGACTTTCAGTAAACTCGAAGAGAAAAGCAAAAATTTTCCAACGTTGTCCCACAAAGCTCCTCTTCCAGATATAGAATTTCTTCCAAGAAAGGATTTTACACCTTCAGAATCGTCAAAAGAAGCTTTCAAACAGATTATGGAAGCGCTCAAAGGCAACAACATCAATATGATCGGACTGTACGGAATGGGAGGGGTGGGTAAAACCACCCTGGTGAAAGAAGCAGGCAGGAGAGTCAAAGAATTGCAGCTTTTTGATCAAGTTTTGATGGTAGCAGTGTCCCAGCATCCAAATGTCACCAACATTCAGGATCAAATGGCAGATAGTCTGGGTCTGAAGTTTGAACAACAGAGCACAGAAGGGAGAGCAAAACAAGTATGGCAAAGATTACAGAAAGAGAAGAAGATGCTTATCATCCTAGATGATGTTTGGACACATATTGACTTACGAGAGATAGGGATCGCATATGGAGATGATCACATGGGTTGTAAAATTCTTCTAACAACACGTCTTCAAACCGTATGTTCTTCTATGAAATGCCAGCCAAAGGTGTTTTTAAGAGAGTTGTCTCAAAATGAAGCATGGGCTTTATTCAAAACGAAAGCAGGTTTACGTGATGATAACTCTGCATTGAACAAAGTGGCAAAGGAGGTTGCGAGAGAATGCAAAGGCTTGCCTATAGCACTCGTGACAGTGGGAAGGGCTCTCAGAGATCAGCCTAAATTTCAGTGGGAAGCAGCATATAAACAGCTCAAAAACTCTCAATTGCTGATGGAACAAGTTGACGAACAAGAAAATGCATATGCATGTCTTAAGTTGAGTTATGATTATTTAAAGCTCAAGGAAACCAAGCTATGTTTCTTACTATGTTGTTTATTTCCAGAAGATTACGACATTCCAATTGAGGACTTGACGAGATATGGAGTTGTCTGTGGGCTACATCGAGATGCGGAGTCCATTGAAGATGCAAGGAAAAAAGTGTGTGTGGCTGTTAAAAACCTCAAGGATTGTTGTATGCTTTTGGGCACTGAAATTGAAGAATGTGTGAAAATGCATGACTTGGTTCGTGATGTTGCTATTCAAATAGCATCATCATCAAATGAATTTGATTTCGTACTAAAGACTGGCACTGGGTTAAAGGAGTGGCCTGGGAGTTTTGAAAGCTTTGAAGATTGCACAACTATTTCGTTAATGGGCAATACACTGACAGAACTTCGTGAAGGACTGGTATGTCCACAGCTCAAAGTTTTGTTATTAGAATTGGATGATTGCATGGATGTTCCATGTAAGTTTTTTGAAGGGATGAAAGCATTGGAAGTTTTGTCTCTACAGGGAGGGTGTTTGTCATTGGAATCACTTGAATGCTCAACGAACCTTCAATCCCTGCAGTTTATTGAGTGTGAATGCGTGGACCTCATTTCATTGAGAAAGCTGCAAAGACTTAAGATTCTTGGTTTTCTGAGCTGTGACACGATTGAAGAATTGCCTGAAGAAATAGGGGAGCTCGAGAACTTAAGGTTGTTGGATTTGAGAGGTTGTACGATGCTAGAAAGGATTCCTGTGAACTTGATTGGAAGGTTGAAGAAGTTAGAAGAACTGTTGATTGGGAATGACAGCTTTATGGAATGGGGTGGGACAAGCAGTGAAGGAATGAATGCAAGCCTAACAGAACTAAATTCATTGTCTCATCTTTCGGTATTATCGTTGAGGATACCAGAGACTGAATGCATTCCCAGAGATTTTGTTTTCCCCAAGTTGCTTAACTATGAAATCGTAATAGGATGGGATATATGTTTAAGGTATCCAACCTCGACAAGATTGACTTTCGGTAATATCAGCGCCACATCCCTAGATGCAAAGACATTTGAGCAGTTGTTCCCTAGTGTATCTCAATTTGAATTGACGAGTGTGAAAGGCTTAAAAAATATAATATGGTCCACGCATGAGCAGCAACAGGGGTTCTTACGGCAGTTAGAATGTGTTGATGTAAGTGATTGTGGTGATATGTGTACTCTGTTTCCAGCAAAATTGTGGCGACCTTTGAAAAATCTAAGGAGTGTGCGTATTCGACAGTGCGACAAATTGGAAGAGGTATTTGTATTGGGTGAGGTTGATCAAGTAAGCGATGAGGAGAAGGTGCTGCTGCTGTCATCTTTAACGGAGTTAGTATTGGAAGAGTTACCTACTCTGCAGTGTATATGGAAGGGGCCTACCCGACATGTAAGCCTCCAAAGTCTTATTAAGCTGACATTGAGGCATCTCTTCAAACTCAAATTCATCTTCACACCGTCCCTGGCTCAGTGTCTACCACAACTAGAAACACTTCAGATAGAAGATTGTGGTGCATTGGAGCATATTATCACAAGTAAGGATGATAATTATGAGGGGGAAATAATTCCAGACTCTATTTGCTTCCCAAAACTAAAAACACTCTCCATAAGCTGGTGTGGGAAACTGGAATATGTCTTTCCTGTGTCTATGGCTCGAAGGCTTCTGAACCTGGAAGAGATACAGATTGAAGGTGGCTCTAAATTAAAGCAAATATTTGGCAGTGGAGAAGGAGAAGATGTACCCACAACAGATGGAGATGGCATCATCGTGTTTCCTCAACTAAGAAAGTTGGAGCTTTCTAGATCAAATCTCAACTTTTTTGGTTCAAACAATTTTGCTGCCGAATTGCCTTCTTTGCAAGATCTACAAATTGAGGGCCACAAGCAATTGGGTAATTTGTTGGCAAAGCTGCTGTTGCGTTCTTTAATCTTTCTCCACTATTTCTTTAATTTTTATTTTAGAAGTACAATTTTAATATTTAATTTCATTACAACATCAGTACATTATGGTAATTTTCTTCTTTCTTCATCTAAACTTTCTAGAATTGAAATAATGGATAAATGCTAATGGATCCTTTAGAATGTTTATTGTTTGCTAAGCCAGAGGTACTCTTTATTGTTTCCCCAAACTCTTAGAATGTTTGTTAATTCTTTTGTTTGTTTCAGACTTTCAGTTACAGATATATTTCATTTCCCATGACGTCTTTAACAAAATACCATGCTCCATTTGAACCTTTAAAACACTTTAATCAATGGATCTCACAATGCCATGCTCTGTCTATTCAAGTCTTTCTGATTATAATTTTCTGTTTACCAAAATTATAGTTTCAAAGTAAGTAAAAATCACTAAGAACTATATCCAACAAAATGTTACCTTTGTTTTCTTTTTATGCAGGGCTTAACAAATTTGAGAAATTTAATTATTAAAGATTGTGAAGGAGTAGAAGAGCTAATGCAGGTTAGAAGTTTTGTCACTAATAGAACAGGTGGGCGTGAACTTTCACTCTTGAGTTTGGAAACATTAAAGTTGAGCTCTCTGCCTGACTTGAGGAGTATATGCAAGGGTCTCGGACTGAAAAATTTGACTACTTTGGAGGTGATTAATTGTAAGGGACTGAGACATTTATTCCCATCCAGCATGATTGCCAGTCTGCTTCAACTGAAAGTTCTAAAGATATCAGGGTGTGAGGAATTGGAGGAAATCATTGCCAAGGATGATGATGACAAGGATGAGATATTGTCAGAAACTCATCTCCAATCTTTATGCTTCCCCAGTTTGTGTCAAATTGAGGTCAGAGAATGCGACAAGTTGAAGAGTCTCTTTCCAGTCATCACCGCGGCAGGATTTCCACAACTAAAATGTCTCAAAGTAAGAGACGCTCCTCAATTGACGAAAGTATTTGGAAAGGATGATAAAGCCTCATATGTCAATGTTGAGAAAGAGATTGTGGTCCCTAATCTGCTGGAGTTGTCGCTAAAAAATTTACCAAGCATCGTCTGTTTCGGCCTTGGATGTAAAAATTTCTTATTCCCACGTCTTGAAGAGTGTGTGGTGGGAAATTGTCCTAAGATGGCAACACAATTCACTCTTACGCAAAATGGTTCAGTGAGTGCTCAATCAGAGGTTCCGCTCTTTGAGTTTATTTTTGGCCAATCTCTCCTATCTTCAGTCCCAATTTTTGTTTCTTGGTTTGCAAAATAATAAGATTTACCAAATTGTAGAATGTAAGTCACGCTTCAATTGGTTTGCAGGTATCTCAGGTTGCTGAGGCTTCAAGCAGTAGTTGTCCCATGCCAAGCAGCACTTACAAAGTGTGGACGAGATATGGTGGGTGGAAAGAACAAGATTCTGATCGTGGGAGCTAGTGGTGGATGTGACACTGAATCGGATGATTACTCTTGCCATCAGAGTTTAAAAAATATGCTAATAGTTGATTACAGCCCAAAAGGTATGGCTGCTGGTGTTTTACTTTTCTTCAGCCCTTAATAACAGAATATGCCAGCAGGATTTCTGATTTCTTCTTTCTTCATGTTTGCATCAGTTGGTTCTGATCCTGCTCATAACTTTCAATTGGTGGAAATAATATCAATTAATTGTTCCATTTGCAATGGGATACAGTTTGGCTTCGCATTGTGAGAGTCTTAGTTACCATGGAACTCCCAAAAACAAAGAAGGGGTGTGCACTTAATCCGTATGTGTGAGAGCTTTCAGAAATAAGGGTATGATTTGTCTGTTTACCCACGTAATTTTGTGTGTATATTCATTATTGCGGGAGCCTTCAGAAATAAGGGCATATGTTTGTTTGCCCATCTGTGATTCTTTCAAGGGTCTGAAGTCTGAAAAATAAGGGTATAGTACTGTTTGTTTACCCTTCCTTGCATCTGTGTGTTTAATTTCAATGTTCCAACTTTCCATTCTCAAAATTACTGTTAACTTGAAGTACTTAATATATATGTATTATTACAGCATTGCTTTGGTCCATGTGCCCTCAGCTGCTTATGGTTCTATTGCTCTCTACGTGTGCTCTCAGTTGTAATATGTATTTTTACAGCATTCCCCCTTCTTCTTTTTTTCCTGAACATTTTAAATTCCTAGCTGAGTATATTATAAATTAATCCCTCTGCTTTCAAACAATGAATTAATTAGTTTCTCTCATTTCAAAAAACTATTATTTAGCTTCTTTTTTTTATCAATTTTAACCATACTTAATTTAATATAATTATTTTCATTTGACAACGTATTTTTTCATCAATATTTTCATCTTTTTTTATTTATTAAAGAAAAAATAAAAATAAATTAAGTTACAAGTAAATTTAAAAATATAAAAACTAAATAATTAGTTTTTGAAACAAGAAAGATTAATTATTGATAGTTTACTGTGTCCTATTTATCTAGTTTCATGGCTTAAGCAAAAAATAAAATAAAATAAAAAATAAGCAAATCCGGGCTAATAAAAGAGTCCAACCAATGAAATCAGTTTAGAGTCTTCATTTGTGGCCCAGAAATTAGATTTTGCTCAGGTGGTGACACATTTTATTTGGAAATTAAGTTGAAGAGAAGCTCCCAGAAGTTGAATTCAATGGGAGACAACCAATTATTATTTAAAATTTGGACGATTTTAATAGCCAGATTGCTTGTATTAGTGCATTGAAAATGGTGATGCTAGCTAGATTGGATTAAAAAAATTAGAAGTTCTTTTGTCAAAGAATGCGTACACCAAATATATATATAGCTAGATATACTTAAAATTGTGTAATATTCATCTAGTCTCGGTCACCAAATTTGAGTTATAATAACCGATCTAATGATACTTAATGGTATAATTTATCTCTAAACTATTGAAGTTGTAGTAAAATAAGATTTATTCTATTAATTGATACTATTTGAATCTTAAATTATTAATTTTTGAATAAATTATACTATTTTCTATTATTTCTATGATCAAAGTATTAACTGTTTATTTAACTAAAACGTTTAAAACAATGTTGTTTTAATTTTATTTTTTAGAATTAAAATTAACTTGGAACAAAAGAATATTTAATAATAATTAGTTTTTAAAATGGTTTAGATAATTTTATTATTTATCAATCCGACTTTTTATTGTTAGATAATTAATAGGGATAATTACTAGAAAAACCTTATAAAAAAAATCTTCTATCTAAAAAACCCACAAATTTATTTTTAAATCTCTCAAACCCAAAATAATATTTTTCTTACTAAAACACCCAATAATTAACACTAGTGTTAACCATTGGTTGTTTTGATAGGAAAAATATTATTTTAGGCTTATAACATTTAAAAATATTATTTTGTGTTTGAAAAATTTAAAAATAAAATAGCGAATTTTTTAGATAGAAGATATTTGGTAATTATCCCTAGTTTAAATGAAACCATTATCTTTCAAGATATGCATTTCTATTATGGATGATCGTGTTTTATTTAATTAATGTATCAAAATATGTTATACATTCATCTTGTAATTTAATTTAATTGATTGATAAAAAATGTTGAGTTATGATTAATTAAAAACTAGTATTACGGATGGTTTTTTTTCTATCAACATATTGGGATTTAAGAAATCACTAATGTTCATAATTATACATATTCTTATTTTTCTTATTTGTATGATAACCCTTTGATTAAATTACAAGAGAATAACTAAAGTCTCATTTCATCAATATTAATTAGTTAAATTACATCAATTGCTATAGTTACTAGATAGTAAAATTAATCTTGTAATTAACAAAATAAATGGTAGATAGAAAAAAAACTCTAATATAAGGATTTTTTTATTAATTTTTTAGTATAATAAAAAAAAACTTGACTTGATCATGAAAATAAATAAATAAATAAATATCAAAGTCATTAAAAACTATGAAATGATTTTATTGTTAGATAGAAACTATATATATATAAGCTCTAAAAATTTTCTATCTAAAAAATCCATCAATTTATTTTTTAAATCTCTCAAATCTAAAAATAAAAAAATTATCTTACCGAAAAACCTAATAGTTAACTAGTGTTAAGTTAGAGATTAACTATTGCGTATTTTGGTAAGAAAAATATTATTTTGGGTTTGAGAGATTTAAAAATAAATTGATGGGTTACTTGGATATAAGATTTTTTTAGAGGGTTTTTTTTTGGTAATTATCCCTAATTAATAATGTGTAATAGATCCATCTAATAGAAAAAATTTAAAAAAAAAAACGAAATAATTTTTTAAATTAATTTTAATTTAAAAAAAATTAAACACTTAAACAATGTTATTTTAATTTTATATATTTCAGTTAACTATTAATACTTTAATCATCATACATAACAAGAAATAATAAATTTTATTCAAAAATTAATAATTTATGATCTAAATAATTTAAATTAATAATATAAATTTTATTTTATCACAGCCTCAATAATCAGAAATAAATTATATCACTAAACCTTAAATAATCTCATCCCCTATATATATATATATTTCCAACATGAAGAGGCATAAATGCATAAACAACCCTTCAGTTTCTCGATGGAGAAGGAGAACACTTACACTCAACTGGTCATAAACACAAAGGCACGTGGATCATCCATTTGGAGTCAATGATAGTGACCATCCTGGACTTGTTATGCTCATACCACCACTTAAAATAATACAAATCACATCTCCCATCAATCAAATCATATTTGCCGACTCTGCCCTTTCCACAAAAACATGCCCCGCAAAACGGTACTTAACAACCATTGACTCAGCAAATTATAATTTAGGCTCTATTGTTTAATAAAATTAATTAATCAGTCCTCTTGTTTCATAAATTATACCATTAATTGCTATATTCTCAAAATCTATTTATAATTTAATCTTTATTTAAAAAGAAAAAAAAAGTGTACATGCAACAATCTTTTATCGTTAGGACTCAAATCTATTTCATAATTTTTTTTTTTTATAAATTCTGGGGCTGAAAGAAGTAGACTCAATATCCCAAATGCGAAAACTGATAAAATGAAGAAAAGGAAATTCCTTATCCATTAGACCACAAAAATTACATATAACAGAAAATGTCAGTTGCAGCACATCTACAGCAGTACTACAAATTAAACTGTTTGTCATATAATCTTAAACATAGTCACTTGGCTAGCTTTTGTCTCTCTCTCTCTCTCTCTCTCTCTCTCTCACTGTTCTTTAGCGCCACTCTTGTTTCTTGTCTTTGTTTTGACTTCATATTTCCATTTCTTGGTCTTTTTTTCTCATTTTATTAGAGACTTTTATAGCTCTCTTTCGACAGTCTATACGCACCATAGTTCTTGAACTTTCTTTGATTTGGTATCAATAATTTTCTCTCAGATAGATCGTATCGTATTTGGTAAGTAAAGTCTGGTGGATATTCGTCAAAATTGTTTTCTTTTTGGCTTCTGGTTGTGTTTGGTTGCCAAGAAAAGTACAGAAAAGGAGAAATTTAGTGTGTGGCTTACAGAATTCCATCTATCTATATGAATATAGTAAGGCATAGACTTAGCTGGACTTTAAAAGGTCCTCTTTTATGTTTCTTTGTTTTCTTGGGAACTGAAAGAGAAGCTAAGGTTGCCTTTCTGTGTTGGTTTCTTTCTTTTTCTTCTGGAGGACAAAGAAGATTATTCTGGTTGTTTCTTTTCTCTCATTGACTCCGTTTCTTTGAGAGCTAACTAGTTTTTATTTTTTGGTCAAGTAATAATCTCTTCTTTTGTTCAGCTGAATTTCTTGATGTTCTGGCTGGTGCATAAATTTAGCCCCTTCTGCTTGACTAGAAAATTGAGGAAAAGAAACAGAAATAATTTAGAGCCCTTTAAGATTTTTTCCAATTTGGTTCAGTCTTCACTTTCCAGTACTTTCTCAGCTACCGAATGCATCGCTTTTTGTTCAAACGCGCTGTCTAACAATCTGTTGTGCTCTTGCCTTGAACAGAGTGATCTCTGAATCAACAGTATAGAAACATTGCAAGGACTTTGATTATTGAATCATGGAGAATAGTGGAGGTGGTTCTTTTATGAGGAATAGGAGATTGGAGAGCTTCTTGGATACAAATTCCTCTTCAACAGTGAAACAAGCCCCAAAGATTTTGGTGAAAGAAGAGGTGGTAAAAAGTCCTAAGACTGATGTTTATGTTGATGATGATGGGTGGATTTCTGCATTGATATCTTGTGTAAGGATTGTGGTTTGTTTCTTGTCAATGATGGTCACAACATTCATATGGTCCTTAATCTTGCTCTTTCTCTTACCATGGCCTTATGAGAGGATTAGGCAGGGAAATATTTATGGACATGTTACTGGTAGAATGCTGGTAAGTGCCTTTTTTTTGTTTTTAAGTTTTTCAGGCTTGCTTGTCTGCTGTAATTTTGAAGTTGATATTGGTTCTGTTTTGTTGGTTTAAATGCATTTATTTATGATAAATATTTAACCATCAAGAAAAGCAGAATGAACATTTGTGTTTGAATCCTTAGAAAATTGAGGAGAAAAATAAAGGGAAAGTTTTGCGTTTTATGAAGCTATCTGCTTCAGAGTTATCATGCTTTTTTTTTTTTTTTTTTTCTCATTTTTTGGAGGTCCCTAAAAGTGGAATAATGATCCCAAATTTTTCTAGGCCTTTCCTGCAACCAAACAGTGCCTTCTTGAAACTGCTCAGTTACTTGGTCAAAATTGGTGTTTCCTTGCCTATTATAACATGTGCCTATATTGTAGGTTTCTCTACCAGTGAAGATAGCATCAAATGATGAGCTTGTTCTTGTGGTTGCTTAGGGCTCTTTCTTCGAAAGACTCGATCTTCAAATCTTCTTCTAGAGTCTTTAATTTAAGCAAAATGTTATCTATAGAGTTCATAATAGATGTGTTTTTGGGGTATCCTAGGGAGGGGCACCTTTTTCTATATAGTTCAAGACCAAGTGTTATCAAGTCTGAGCGTTTACTTTTGCAGAACATGGCACTGTTGTCCAGGGGATGTATCTCCTGCAGATTTATGAGAAATATATGGTGCTCAAACAGGTAGGTAACATGTGGTGCGCGCAAACCAAGATAGAAATGGCACTTTAGTTGTTATAAAATGGAAAGTATTGTAGTGGAAGACAATGTTAATGAGCTACTGATAAGCTGTGGTCAGGTGTGGGTGATCCAGGGAATGGAACCTAGAATGCTCTGTAGTGAGATAGGTGTTTGTTGGATTGAAGTCCTTAACAATATCTTTTACTCTCCTGAAGTTATTGAGGAGGAGGGATGGGGAATAAATTAACTTGAACAGAAACTGTTTACTATGAACTCGTAAAATGGTGCTGATTATTGATTTCATCAGCAACTTTTGCTGATACATTTGGCAGAAATGTCCCAGAGAATAATGTGCAGAGATGAATGCTCCTGTTAAGTGATTAACAATAATCAGTATCCTTAGCCTTCTTCTTTTTCAATTTATGTTATATTTTTTTCGGAAAATGAGAAAATGATGCCATGTAAAAATACAAAATTTTCATTGCAGTTGTGGATCTTAGGGAATCCTATCAAGATTGAAGGCACTGAAGTTTCAAATGAGAGGGCCATTTATATCTGTAATCATGCGTCTCCTATAGACATTTTCCTCGTGATGTGGTTGGCTCCCACAGGCACTGTTGGCGTTGCAAAGAAAGAGGTCTGAATTTACCTATTCTGGCAAAAGCTCATTCTAATGAACGGATCTGTATCCTATAAACCTGCTAATGATACCACATCCAGATTGATAAGCTCTATTGTTGTGCAGAATCAAGTTGCTGGGTGCTACCTGCTTACTTATATAAGCTCACCCTACTCATGAGTGATGAGATGATGTCGTCAGTCTATATATCTGACCTGATGAATGATAGCGTATTTTTGCAGATCATATGGTACCCTTTGTTCGGACAACTTTATGTATTGGCAAATCATCTTCGAATAGATCGCTCCAACCCTACTGCAGCTATTCAATCTATGAAAGAGGTACTCCTTCCTCTTCTCCACATTATTTGATGATATTGCCAGTCTATATATCTAATTAACAAGTGTTTCTTGTGCTCAGGTAGCTCGTGCAGTAGTGAAAAACAACCTTTCACTCGTCATTTTTCCTGAGGGAACTAGATCAAAAAATGGACGATTGCTACCCTTTAAAAAGGTAAATTTATGCATTTTCGTGAATAAATGTGTATATGATTCTTGTTCCTTGTAAAGATGAGTAGATGACTATATCGCTCTCTTCCTAACTTGCATTTGTACTTTATAAATATCCGACTCTGACTCCCTCCCCTTTTTTGGGTGTTCCCTTACAGGGTTTTGTTCATTTAGCATTGCAAACACGCCTCCCAATAGTTCCAGTGGTCTTTACAGGTGCCCATCATGCATGGAGGAAAGGCAGCTTAAATGTTCGGCCAGCGCCTATAACAGTCAAGTATCTCCAACCAATAAAAACTGATGATTGGACAGATGACAAGGTTGATGACTACGTCAAACTGGTCCATGACATATATGTTGAAAACCTTCCAGATGCTCAAAGGCCTCTTCATTAGAAGGTACCAGAAATAGTATCAATTCATCGTTAAGCATAGTTGTAACTTATCCTTAGATTAGCAGAGCTACTGATGTATATACTGCTGATATTCATGCAATAGCCCAGATTGTTCGATCCATAATCATAATGTAACAAATTCTCCTTGTCTTGTATATTCAACTACTATAATAGCCCTGTAGGTGGGATTGCAAACTCATTGAACCTGTATACAAAAATTTTGGCCAAGAATGGATATGAAGTTCTACTTAATCTTGCCAGCAATCTAGATCTCTCTTCTTTTTTCGTCCCCTGAATGCATTGAAGTCTCAGTTTGATTCAGATTTATGGTTATCCACGCCATTGTGGCATAGGGTAGATTCAATGTGGAGATGGCACCAAACAGCTTGCATCTGCTTAGTGCTTTAGTTGCTACACTACTGTTTCAGATCACTTCAAAAACATGCGCATGTTCTATCACTTGAAAAATGGTTACACATTTCTCTCTAATTTGTACTGTGCATCATTCCAATAGCAAGATAGAGAAGACAACAAATATGTGAAGGCAAAAACTGGAGAATGTAGTTTCTGCAGCGACGTAAAGAAGCAACCTTCAATCATGCATAACAAATCCCAAATATTAAATCATATGTGGGGTTTGGATCCAGACAACTGGTAAGCGATAACGTAACTGCCTGGCCAGTTCAATTGAGCAGAATTTTTTAATTCCTTTGACAATGATGTTTGGTTAGAAAATAGATTCTTATATTCTATATTATATAATATTAGCTGAGAAGGGGGAGTTTAGTAGAAATAATTTATAGCAGCATCATTAATTCTTTCACTTAACTAGGGTTCAGGAAAACGTGGAAAACAAGCAAACAACAATAACGCCGGAAAAGAATGTTTATCTTATTGATTAGAATAAACTTGGAATGATATCATTTGTGATTATCAATGGCCCTTTACATGATTATTAAACATAAAACCACAAATGCTGTAATCGTCAACGACAATTATATATAGTTTTTTCTGAGCGGATTGACTATTATCTATAGTTAGGTTTTTTTATCAGAAAAATGGAGTGTGCTTTGCTGGAAAGTGACAATATATATTTCAACTTTCTGGAATCTGTAATGAATCTTGTTTTTTTATACAATAATCTTATTATAATTTTTATAGCATGTAGAAGAATGATGACAACGACAATTAAATTGAAGCAAGAAATTGCTGTCCATGGTTGGCATTCTCTGGAGCCATCTCTAGATTTCTCTTCGAATTCTCTAGCTAGCTAGCCCACTGGAGGGTAAAGGCTAGTCCAATGTCAAACCCCCTGGCTCTCTGTTTTGGATCCAGAACTCTTTCAGAAACTAATAATAATTATTATTATTATATGATATTTGATGATAAAAAATATTGATTAAATAAATGTATTAATAATTATTATATAGTTCTAAATGTGATTAGAATTTTACATCAAAGGTCGCTTGTTTTGTATAAAATATTTTATAGAAAAATATTTTTTTTTTTCTGATTTTTATGTATTTGTTTTTGCGTAAATATATTGTAAAAAGTGTTGGTCAATTTTTGTAATTTTTGTTCATGAATTGATTGGCATACTTCATTAACAATTTGATTTTGGGACAATTAAAGGGTAAGCTAGATTGTTTGAATTTGAGACCAAAGTACGTGGTGTGCATTTATTGATGCCATCAATGAAGATCACCTTCTCTGTTAAGTTACTGATAATTCTTGGCACAAGCTAGATCCAGTTGTGACCATGTTTTGGAGTTGGTTTTTGTGGCAGATGAACCTTGAAAGTTTGACGAGGTCTCCTCTCGATAATGAGACAGTCACAATAGGAGTGGTCTGTGTAATTCTAGAAACAAACAGATTAGTGGATATAGTCTACCCTTATTTAGATACTGATGCAACTTTTAAGGCAATTACACGTTGTTAGCACTCAGTACTTAATGCTTTAATTATTTTTTTCCCTTTTGCTGAAGAGAAAAATTTTTAACCCCTAATCTCCCCTTTCTTCTTTTGCTTCGTTATAATATATTAATCATAAATGGACTTTTAGGTTTTGCATTTAAAAGATTTGAGTGGCATAACATTTTACCATGACAAAGGATGTTTGTTCTTTCCACGAGTGAATTATAAATTCATAATTGGAAGACCTGTTTTCTTTAAAGTAAAGTCCACTTAAATGCAATTTTGAAGAATGACAGGACCATGAGGTGAGTAAAGTGAAAAGAATTACTTAGGTGTGGCATTTGTGGCCTACCCATGTGTAGAATTAGACAATATTTTTGTGGAAAGTGTTACTTCCATGTTATAGCAGGATAACTAAGCAAAATAGCTTTGAATAAAAATTTTATGAAAATTTGACGTTTAGTCAATAAGTGTCATCTCTTCTTTTGTTATAAGCATGATCTATAATAAAAGCTTTAATTATGTATGCAAAGTTCGTATTATTATTATAATTTTTTTTTACATATTTAATAGGAGAAGTTTGACTTTGCTGATATTGCAAAGAAATGGATTTTGACATCATTAAATAAGAAGTGGAAGGATTTCAAAAGTAACTTGAAAGCTAAGTTTTTTTACCCTAGTAAAATTACAAAAGAAATCATTACATATAAATAATTATCTCATGTATGTTGATAGATTAATAGTCTACTTTGGTCAATAGATGGTTTACTCCAAGAAGCCGTGTGTCAAATTATTTCATATTGTAATTTGCTTTCTTTTACCTCGTTTGTATGATTTATAATCAAATGTTTTTTTTTATAATGTAGAAAGCAAGTGAGGTAAATATTGCAAATGCAAACAAAAATAAATGTGCACATACATAAGGCAGAAAAAGTTGTGCAAGAAAAGAAGAGAAATGATAATTTTAAAAATTTATAACTTTACATTTAAATACTATTTATGTATGAAATTAGATTAAGTATGTATAATTGTTTGCGGTATGTATAATCGTTTGCAGCGAGGAAGAAAGGGATGGAAAGGAACTCGATAGGTTGACATTATATGAAGCTACTCATAAGAAGAAGGATGATACATTTGTGGATGACAATGTTAGGCAAAAAATTATACGAAAATTTTATTGTAATTTACTTATTGTTGATGAATGATATTTCATTATTCACTTATTTCAAATATACATGTCTTGATATTTATAGGAAAAAGCTCGTTTTCTCCAAGCTAGGCGTTATGAATGTTCCTTAATCATGAGTGTTACCGATATGAATGAAGAGATTTTTCAAAAAATTATGGGTAAAGAATACAATAGTAGAGTTAGAGGATTTAGAGGATTAGACTTGGGTCCAACACCAACATTTTTCTTTGATTTACAATCTCAACTTGGAAGTGATCAAGACGGTACATCCGCAAATCAATCAAGTGAAACAGAAGAAATGAAAAAGTCGTTGCATACAATGCAAACTAAAATTATGCAATGGAATCTAGGTATAATGCAATAAATGTGACATTAACTCGTTGTGACTACTTTCATTGCGGAGAGATATCTTTATCGAATTTGATGCCTACTTTGTTGAATCTTACTCGGGTATCATATACTTTTAATTAAATATTTAACATATTTCTTGATCCGAAAATATTTTTTATGAGTTTTTTATATGTATCCGTATTATTGTTTCTTTTTTTCACTTTGAAATTGTGCTTTTGATAGTTTCACAATTACGGTAATGATCAAAATGCTCCTTCTACCAATCGTTCATCACAATCAAGTCATCTATCAAAATGAAGCATTTTATATAGAAACATGAGAGTTGTTTTTTTGGTCGACATTAGCCACTTATTTTAAAACATATTGGGAGTTTTGTTTATGTATTTTGAGGAAGTGTTTAATCCTTTAGTTTTTTTCTTGTGAATGTTTGAAGACTTTTTATGTATTTAGAATTTGATAATTACAAATTTAAGAATATTGTGTAAGCTATATAATTTTTTTTAATTTGCACTCAACAAGATGTAACTTTTTTTTAATTTTTTTTTTTTTACCAAAAAATGAAGTAATTAGTTGAATTTTCAAGCCAAATAAAACAACCACCTCTATTCTGAAATTTGAGACAATAGTAACCGCTTCTATAAATTCTAAAATTTGAAGCGATTACAACCGCCTCTATAAATTCTATAGTTTGAGGCAGCTTTAAACCGTCCTTATAAATTTTAAACTTTGCGACAGCTTGTAACCGTCCCAAAATTTTGCGCAAATTTTTTTTTAAAAAAGGGGATTGTAGAGGCGCTTACCAACTGTCGCAAAAATTACGTGCCAAACAATTCTAAAAGAGGCATTGTAGAGGCGAGTTGTAACTATCTTAAAAAAATCATTTTGAGGTGACTATAATCGTCGGAAAAAACCATCTCGTAATTCCTCAACGGGTTGGCAAAACAACCGCTACACCTTAGAGACGGTAGCATTGGAAACAATTTTGAGACGGTCATCAAAATCATCTCTACAATCTATAAAGACAGTTATAACCATGTCTAAAAAATAAAAATAAAAACTACATGTAATACCTTTTTTTTTAGTGCAGTGAGTGTTTAATCGAGAGAGAAAAGAACTCGAGAGAAGGTTTCTTTTTCTTTTGTCTTTTCGGAATATATAAAGAGAGAGAGTTCCTTGTTTTATTCGGAATGGTTATGCACGAGGTCAATTAACAACTATTTAGTCTACTTCCGGACTTATTTTGATATGTTAAAACTTTTGGATACAAAAATATATTTTTTCATTGGTGTAATGACTAATGAGTCTGTGTTTTAAAGAGGGGAAATTGACAAACTACTCCCCCTACTATAACAGTCTTTTCAATCGTTCTCCTGAAATAAAAGTTTTTTCAATTGGATCCCAGAAAATCCATTGTTTGTCAATTAAACCCCTGACTAGATTAATCTTCGTCAATCCTATGGAAAATATTTTTCTAATTTTTATGTGTTTGTTTTGGGTAAATAAATTATAAAAAATTTTGATCAAGTTTTGTTCTACGCACACAACAC